TACACCATTTGCTTTTCCCCAGTTTTAAGAGAAAGGGAGTTAATTTTCTAACTGTGTTAATGCATGGGGTGTGTCTACCCAAAAATAAGACTGAAAAACTGATCACTCTTCAGAAGTTAAATAGCTTACAATTGCACAAAGAGGAAAATAAAGGACTATTCCTGCCATACCTGCTCCCACTGAATAGCAACATACTACGTTTCCACTGATTTCAAAGATGTCTCACAGGTCAGAAGTCTTTCAAAATATCACTGTCCACAGTTAGGGCCTCCTCAGTGGGTAGACAAATTGGGCTATCATATTTCCAAATGCCATCCCATTCACTGTATCCACAAGTGTCTAGAAGTGCCCTCCTGCTTTCAAAATGATAGAGAATACCCAGTGTTTTGTTCAGATCTCTCAAGAAGGTGTGCAGAGAACAGGAAAACCATGGGCTCCAACAACAGTTCTTCTACTCGTGTCATACTACCTTGGTGCATATATGTAACATGAAGTTGTAAAGTTTATACATGTTCTCATGTAGCCTTAAATTTGCCTTGTTCCACAGAAAAGATTAAAGTATCTGACATTATTTAAAAGTCACTTAGCTACTATTTTAATATGTTATGCTTAGAAGGTGAACATTTTACAGCAGTCTACCTGGTTTTAACGTATGTTTCAATTTACAATTGATAATTTCTATGGTATTGAACAGAAGCTGAAGCTCCTTCAAGAAACTGAAAACATCATGCATTTTGAATATCAAAGTATAATTTGGGGCATGCCAATGTGCAAGTATATTATGTATTTGAGCTTCTGGAAAAAAAACGTGCTTAGGGTTAGGAAAACTACATTCTTATGAACAAAGAACATAAACACAATATTTTTGCTTAACTGAATCTAAGAAAAATACTGTAAAGCTTCAAATGCATAAGCTTGCTTTGAGAACGTATTGTATAGCAACACAAAGATAATTGCTTCCATTTACTATGGATTCTTTTCTGCTCTGTCAAAACCAATATGCAGTTATTCTCTACATTACCAATAAGGTGCAACTTCCCCATAAATTAGGTCATGCTGACATTTCTTTCAGGATAACTCTTACACAAGTTTAAAACACAAACTCTGAGGGCCTTGTGAATAAAGAACTACACAATGTCAAATGAGACTCAGCTGTAGATGGGGAATTCTGTTTGATTTTTGCAGAGCTAAAATTTGGAATGCACTTGCTTTTTAGAAGTGATGATAAATCCCGATTATTTTCTTATTAAGTGATGAGTGCTCCAGCAACTTCTGAATAAAGGCCTAATTCTATCCTAAGTTTCTTCTGATTGAGTCTAAGTTTCTTAGATGATGCAACCCCCAAAGCTCTGTTAATATTAATAGAACTATGCTAATTTGTACCAGCTGAGCAGGACTTCAGGACCCTTTTCTGACACACAGGAAGTGCAAAAAGGCCTCAATATAAATAAAAAATAGTTATGCATGATCAAATCCTTGTCAGTGAATTCATGAGAAGTTTTGACACTGATCTCAGTATGGTCAAAATTCCACACAGAGTGGCTACATACATACATACATACATACATATATGTAAGTTCTGTCATCAAACATAGTAAGGTTTTGAGTTTTTATCTCTTTTGGCAAGTATGAAAGATGAATCAGTTTTACCAATAATACACATACACACACACACACACATACACACATATATATTATATGTATATCATATTCTTTTTATGCATGGTTCTCAGAAAATTCAGCAGATGATTAAAATTGTCACAAAAATTCTTAAAAAAAATAAGTAACTATGTACTTTAAAGAGGACTCCAACTTTATGCAAAACATTAAAATGATAGTGGGTTTTTTAAGTTTTCAAGTTACTGAAACTAAACCTCTTGCTGACCTTGTCAGTTTGACGACAGACAACAGTTTATCATTCAAAGTCAGCCACCTTTACCTTCTGAAGTACAAACCCCTAATACAGATAAATAATTGATACCCATTATCTGGAAAGAATCAAGATGAAAAGACGCACAACTACACTTGTAACATTTAGCATGGTATTTTTAGGATTTACTTGAAAATGCATGTCTGTACATCAGTCTTGTACAGGTTCCATGGATGCTATAACAGCAAAAGATGCAGAAGAGAAGTGGGAAATAAAGCCTTTCTCTTTTGAGAGAATTAACTTTAAGAGTGGAGAATGATAGGATATTAAAGCTTACTAAACACTTAAAACACAATGCAAACATTAATTACAGCTGATGTAAGTAAAAGCTAAATACACTCTCAGGATCTTTCAGATTTTCTATGCTATACATTTAAAGACATGGTATCAATGGCATACATATTCAGCATTTAAAATGCATTTCATGGGTTTGTCTTTATTCTGATGTTTGAACGCAATTCAGACTCTTTACCTTCCATTGGCATGGCTGGAAATTCCACCAGTGCTTGCATACCCAGCAATTACTCTTAATGCTTCAAAGCTCCACGAGGCACATTCACCTCCTGTTTACTTTGTCCTCATCCAGTATTTGCTTCTCCTGAACAGAGACCACCAAGGCTGATGAACTCTTGCGGCTTTCTGGGGTGAGCAATCAGCCACCTGGCACCCAAAAGAGACCACATGTTGCCGTACACATGACTTTTGCCAGGCAAAAACCACTCCTTATAAGTAAAAGGCTAGAACACGGGTCCATGGCCTGACTTTGCTTTCAAGTTTTATATACAACATTGAAGAGTATGTTATCTGTATCCATGTCTGTTTTCTCTCAGTTCAGAAAACTCCATCTGAAGACACCAAGGTAAGGTAGAGGACACAGAACTTAAATTAAGGATGCAAAGGTATTTATGACTTTCAGTGATTACACACAGGTGGAGGGAGGCATTTGAAAGATACTCTTTGTTCAGGACATGTACTTTGTTTGCCAGAGTCAGCTGCAAGTTTCAATGCAACTAGAAATCCCCAGATGCCAGACAAGGTAGATATTCACATAGATACAGTCCTGCTAAGTGCACACTCTTCTTGTCATCAATTCAGTGTTGGTTTCACAGTAACAAACACAAATTGTCCTCATTTCTATAGCATGTCTATGGAGTCATGGGCAGCAACAACAGATGCAGACTCAGTCTGTCACTCCAGAAGGAATACGAATGTCCTTAAAGCTGCTTCATTTATGAAGCGAACATGGAACTGTTACCTGCCTGAAAAGAAAACCAAAAATTATAATTTTGCTGATTTCTCTGTATTGCTAAACAGTAGAGCTTTTCACAGACATACAGCATTGACATGTTTTCATGTAATTTTGGAAATAGACAAATTCAACAACTCTTACATAGATATTCGTTTATTTTGAAAGAATAACTATTGTTATAAGATGTACTTTCTTGGTCTAAGAACACATTTGCCTCCAAAAGCTCGTTGATGTCATCTATGGTGATGAAAAAACTCTCATTGTTTTACAGAACTGTGTGTGTGCATTTTGGTATCTGGCAATCTCTGGCAGCAAACTTCCCTTTGAAGTCATCTGGAAAAGCCAATACCAAAGTGAGTTTACATCTTCGGAAAAATCAGGCCACTTGTCCGATTCAGTGATGACGTGCCTTCTCAGTGAACAGATCTTAGAACAAACAGTTAAGGAGACTGGAAATCTCTCAAGTTGTAACTAACTTGATCACAACAAACACTCTGAAATACATTTGAGAGTGACCGCTACAGGATGACCTGCAAAACCTGGATTGCCTCTTATATTCTTATGCTGCTCTTTCCTCTCGTAATGTAAAATGAAGCTTTCAGCACTGCCTGAGTCTTCCAGACCCTTGCCAGAGATGCTGTGGATTAAGTACAGCACAACTCCTGCAGTAAGAAGCCTCTTGCCAGAGACATGCACAATTCTGCAAAGGACCAGCTGGGACCAAGAAAGCTCACTTGCCTTTGTTGCTCACCCTTACACACTCAAGCAAGAATGATGTATTTGTTAGGGCTACAGAGTCTGCAAACTGTGATGAGTAAACAACAATTAACAGATGCTCAGCTTTACTTGGTCTGTTCTCCTACACTCACCTGCTAGTTTAATGATTGTGGCTTTTAGATTATGCTGCTTTGAAACAGCTGTAGGACAACAGCTATATCAGCTTTCACGCCAAGAAGGAGAAGCAGTAGCTGTCCTTCATTTGGGAATTCTGACATATTTCATTTTGTAACATTTTCAGGTTAAAAGTCAAATACCTAAATTAATGATACAAGATTAATCAAATTTGTTGCTAAGGATCTTAGGCATAAATGAAGTCTACTGATCACAAGTTGTTGTTGGTTGTTTTTTTACCCCAAAATGGACTTTGAATCATTTCAGCAGTCAAAAGTTATTAAGCTTATGGTAAGACTCTGTCCTGGGTTCAGCTACAGCAGTCATTTTTTCTCCTTCTTAGTAGCTGGTGCAGTGCTGTGTTTTTGACTTTCAGTCTGGGAACAATGCTGATAACACCGATGTTTTTAGTTGTTGCTAAGTAATGTTTACTCTGACCAAGGACTTTCTCAGTCTCATGCTTTGCCAGAGAGGAGGGGAAGCCAGGAGGAAGCAGAGACAGGACACCTGACCCAAACTGGCCAAAGGGGTATTCCATACCACAGCACGTCATGCCCAGTATATAAACTGGGGGGAGTTACCCGGAAGGCCCAGATCGCTGCTCGGGTCGGGCTGGGTATCGGTCGGCGGGTGGTGAGCGGTTGTGTCCTTTTCCCTTGTTATTCCTCTTATCATTATTATTGGTAGCAGTAGTGGTTTGTATTATACCTTAGTTACTGGAGAGCTGTTATCTCAACCCGTGGGAGTTACATTCCTTCGATTCTCCTCCCCATCCCTCCGGGAGCGGGGGGAGGAAGGAAAAGGGGGGGAGTGAGCGAGCGGCTGCGTGGTTCCAAGTTGCCGGCTGGGCTTAAACCACGACAGACTCTCGACCATAAGAACTTACCAGTACACGAAACAGTAACAGTGTTGAGGGAGAAAAAGCAACAGCTACACTTGTAGATGTTCCTTTTCTTTTTGCTGCAACATACTGAAAGAAAAAGGTACTTCATTACTACAGTGCTAGTGTTTCAAGGAAATAGAATGGAAGGCTTTATCAATAAGTTACAATAAAAGGGAACCCAAAGTTTAGAATTTATGTTTGCTATTAGGGATTCCTATTTATAGATGAGTATTACAAATTTATCAGGAAGGAGGGAAAAAAACCATATGCCATATATTTAAGATGTCTGATGGAGAATGTAACCTGCTTGAACTTTCTGTTAAGGCCATATCTGGCATTTAACTGTTTCCTCTTTTCTTCTCATAAAGCAATGTTTTATATTTCCTGCGAAGTTAAAAGTAAGATGCATGCTCCAATTCTCAAGTTTTAATATCTGTGAGGCTGAAGTGCAGGATGAGTTATTAGTAGCAACTAATATACTTGGTGAATACACTGTCTTCCATTCTACATACTATACATGAAGAAGATTTGTTTTAAGAATGTATTATTCTAGAAAGTTTAAACACAGGATATTTCAGCTCGTGACCAAACTGCTAGATCAGAACCTTGTCTATTTTTGCCTTCAACAGTGGTAGCACCAAGCAGTTCACACAGCTTGAGAAGCCTACAGGGTAAGATGTGTCCTTCTGCCATCTGCATCAGATCTGTCTCTTAATCCCTCACAGTCAAAATTTTACCAAACCCCCCTGAAATACAAGATTAAATAATGCTCTCAAAATGCTTTAGCATAAACTATTCTAACTTAAAATATCCCTCAGTCCTTTTCTGAATTTCACTTCTTTGCCCAAGTCATGTCCAAGCAACTTTGAATGTCTTCAAGCGTTATTTCTGAGGTATATTTGACTGAGTTGCACAGAATTTTTTCTCATTAAAAATCCCATAAAGCAGTATTTAAGTATGAATAGAATCATAAATCATTTCAGTATGATCTTGGGAAGTTATTAGGATTTGAATGACTTTTCATTAACATTTAAAAAACCCTGGAAAACAGATGCTTACATACACACACCCTGCAGAATGTAAAAAATGAAATAACATAAAAAATGTTAATGTGAAAAATGTTTAGACGGTTATATTGTATTTAGAAGGTGTTTTCTAATTAGTTATATAACATCAACCTTTACACCACACAGCAAATGACAAAATTAATTTTCCTTTGTTCCTTCCTATATAGGTCTCAGCCTTTCTTTCTCACAGTGGGAGTAAGGACAGATAAAGTAAAGGTAATGTCCCTTTAGTAACATTTTGTATGCAGAAATCTCCTCCACATCAATTTTTATATTTAAACTAAAAGCTCCTTTAAAGAACATATCCTAAGCATGCATTTTGCTTCTACAGCAAGACCTTGTGTTTGATGTTTTTTGTGTTTGTCTTAGAGCTAGAGAGAAACCTTCAGAAAGTTTATCTCTGAGATAAAGATAAACTTACATTTGTATATACGAATATAAAGTGAAACAACATACCTTATCTCATTTTCCTCTTGACAGTCATGACACTGTGTAGTTTCACCATTTTCTGGTCTGGTTTTGGGATGTGTTTTCTAAGAAGAAGATGCATGAAATATAAATATTCTAAAGCTTTTTTTGTCAACTCCCTAAGAAATGATTTTATGTTTCAGTTTGCTTCAAATTTTCAGTATCAGTCATCTTGAAAAATGCAGGCCAAACCTTGTCCTCTAATACACATCTGCTGCTGGTATAATTTTACTATCAAAGCCTTTGTATGGTAGGCACAGGCACAAGGGCAAAAGCAAAAGAATCCTCCTCTCGAGATACAATAGGAATACTGGGAAATTAGGGAAACCCTGTGTTTTTAATTTCCAGTTAGACAGCTATCATGCTGATTAGACAGGATTTGCACTTTGGTGGTGAGATTCAAGAATCTGACAACATAGATTTCCATTTGCACGTCACACAGTTCAGTGAAAATCAAAAGAGATGTCTCCGGCTTTCAAATGCAGAATGGTTCTGTTCTTCCCACCTGACCACAGCTACGAAATGTAGTACCACTCTGTAAGCAATTAAATTAAATATTTACCTTCCAGTATATGGCTCCCAAAATAAAGCCCATAAGAAGAGACAGCAACGATGTCAGCGCTATGCTGATCCCTTGCAGGCTGGACCTGCTAATGAAGCCAAGTGCCTCCTCTGTAATTACAGATGTTCTCATTAGCAAAGACATATTTATAGCAGAAAATCTTCAGGGCAACACTATTAGCAAGAGTACTTTTATTCACCACCTATATAACATCTTAAATAGCAGAACAGATACTTCAAGGTTCTATGTCCATGAGGTGCACTTCATACAAAGTCCCGCAGGAAATTTTTGACCACAACGATGCTTCACCCATTTTAAAACAGCTGTGTTGAACAGTTTCAGCACTACTTCTTTTTCTGGGTCTTTCTGGGTTTTTTGGTTTTTCCTTTTCTCTTTCCTTCACTTCAAAGTTTTGGGTTTATCAACTTTTAAAGGTCGTACTCTGTAATACAAAGTAATTCTTTGGAAGAGTATGTATCTTTGTGCATTTGCTTAAGTTCCATAAGACACTGGGTGTAGACAGACACTCTGCCTTGCCACTAATGGAAGACCAACACAAGGACTCTAGAGAGAGGTTAATTTAACAAAATAAGCCTGATTTCACTTCTAACGTCTGTCTGGAACCGTTTCACTGACTTCAGTAAGATCAAGCCCTTGTATCTTGAAATCTAGCTGTGTTACTTTGTTTTAACCATTTCTCAATAGCTTTTTACATTTTATTTGTAAGAGCTCCAATCCTAGTCTTTTATGTTCACAAGTAATTCCATTCCTGTCACAGGGAACTATATGCATGCTGAGACTAGAATGTGGCCCTCCAATTATTTAATCAAGAGCAAGGTTCAAAAAGTCCTACAGAGTCATCCTGGGATCCACCTTCTGAAATGCAAAGTGAGCCCCAGGAGACTGCTAGTTTAGACACCATCCACCCAGTTTTGGTTCATTTAAAGATCTGGTGTCTGCAGCTCAAATGGTGTCAGATTACAGGAAAAGAACCAAACTGTAAGCACTGCAAAAATGTAGGTGATTAGCTACAGATGAAAATGGACTGAAAGCACTAGAAATTTGCGTGACTCATGCAAACAGCAAATGTCTAAGCACGTACAGTATGAGATACTGGGTCAAGCAAAGTGCATTTAGTACATTATTAAACAGCCTCTAAGAAAAAACACTTTAGTGTAGAAAGGAGCATTCTCATAATTAACTAGTAGCTCATCTTCAACTCTGAGATGTTCCAGTTGACATTTTGCAAGTTTTTACACAAATGTTCTTTAAATGTTCTTTTTATATCTGAAATTCAGCTGTGTTTTCTAGAGTCATGGTAGACAGAGCTAAAAAGTAAGACAACAGAAAGTCTGTATCTTATATACTTATATACTACTCTGTATATCATACAAAACATAAACTCTGGGTTATGACTACAGGGGCTTGAATTTTACCTACATCTGATAGACCTGGCACACCAAAAGGAGACATGGGTCAAGCAGAACAGAAGCTACCTTACTGTCTACAGAGGAGAAGGGAAAGATAGCTAAGTTCTACAGAGATGAATATCATCTGAAAAAGAGAGGCTATCAATTAGTCTGCCTCTGTCTGCTCAGACATTAACATCAAGAGCAGAAATTAAATAGAATGGCACATATTTTCTCAAACTGTCTGTCCCAGATTACGCATAGAGGAGGTTGCTTGCAGAACTGATGTTCAAAAAATCTGGACAACCTCAAGTGGGGTACAGCCAGCCTGAACAGCTCAAAAAAATAAATTCCTGTCATTACTTTATCTGAACAGTATTCTCAGCATATTCTTCAGTGAAAATTCCTATATTGTTCTTGTGCTTGACTCAAGGAAAATGAAACACTGACTTGTCTAATACCATTAGTCTTTCTTCCCAGTGACAGACTGCTGAGTTGCACAACTGAATTATGGCCATGTTTTCCAGATTTTGCCCTGCAAACTTCAGAAAAAATGGAAAACTGAAATCCAAATCAAAGGAAAAATTCTTCAGGTCATATAGAACATAACTTATTTGATAACATGTTACAGTAGAGTGTATAACCTCAAAAATCCTCTCCTTTCTCTGCAATGCTGAGCAGCATGTCATGGCAAGCATGCTGATTTTTACATAAGCATCTAGAGAAATGTTCTGTATGCAGGGCAATCAGTAATAGTCTAGTACCCTCATTTTTACTTTATTTTTCACAGACTTTAGAGTCTTGGACAATAGAAGCTCTCCTTTACAATGAAGTATCTAAAAGCAAAAAAATCTGATTTCTGAGAAAATATGTCCAATGAAGATGCTTTCCTCAGCAGCTATGGAAAACTGATAGGAATTAATATTTAGTTTTCCATGTGGAGACCTGTAACCCAGGGACAGAGCCTAAATACAGTCAAACTGTGACACTGTCCCCAGCCTATCTGTTAAAAATTACAATAGATGTTTTTTCAAAACTTGATAGTGTATGAATTAATCTGAAAGTTGAGTAACCCATAACTACCTTGAAAAGCAAACAACAACAACAGATGATTTAATTTCACTTTCAAGTCCAGAAAAAGTCTCTTGAAAGATCTGGAAAGAATGAAATGAGTCATGGTGGGTTTCTTCATGTGCATTTTAGTTATAATAACATCTATAACAGAACAGGTTGGAGAATTTTCAGCCTGGGGAACCTCCCGGGGACCTGTGTCCTAATGAAGAAAAGGGAGATCAGAAAAGCAAGCCGGCTGTCAACAGGCTTTTATTCCATCCATAGGGATCTTTTCCTCTATTAGAAACTTTAGAGCTTTACACAGAAAGATTCCTATTCCCAGCATTTGCAAAGGCAAAGTAGGAGAAGGAATAGGAGGAGCTAGGTGTACCAGTAACTTTCTAAACTCCTTGGGCAACTCCAGAGGAACTACTGGCTTTGCAGTTAATATATTAGTCAAACAGACTCTTATCTAGCAAGGTGAAAAACAGGAGTGGAATCAGGCCAGCATCCCTCAGAGCCCTCACTCTGCACCATGTGGAAGATTCCCTAAGGAAGTAAGCCCATCTGATGTTGATGTATAGTCTTTATGGCCATTGGGATGTTAAGCTGTGAACAAAATACATTTACATTAAAAGCCACTCAGCTACACAATGAAGCGATTGAGCTGCTCTCCACCTTGAGCCCTGTGTGTAGTTTAACAACCAATCATATTTCAAACAACTGGCTCAATTTTTTGCAGGGTATGTCTCAAGGATTTTTCAGTTTACCTCCGCTCAGCTACAACACAATTACCACAAGATCTTATCTATAAAAATGCAGAGCAGCTCTCACCTGTTCATTAGGGTTTTCCATTAACTACAAAGTTGGAACAAAGGAACAAAGGCAACACCATGTGCATTAGCCATGGGTGAACATTTTCAAATTGTTGTGCAATTACTGAATTAAACTATGTTATTCTTTACTTAATTAAAAAAGATCTTCTTCCTAGAAAGTCACAGAGATATCTGTGTTTACACACTCTTTGAGCTGTTAAGTACTGAATAATAAAGCTAAATTACTGTGAGGAAATCACAGGCAAAAATGTAAGAAAGTAAAACAACTTTCCATGAAATTATAAATAATTCCATGGTACTAAATTGAGAACTGTTAGTAACAGCTAGTAAGTTCAATCTTTAATTACAGCAACATGAGATTCAACTGATAGGGAAAAAGAGACTACTATTTATTGTTTAGTCAGAGATTAGAACTCAAGACTTCTTATCCTGACACTTGTTCTTTATATAGGAACCATCTCATCTGAATTCTCTAGACTAATCATAGTATAATGATTCAGAGAAATATCAATGAGACGGGGACTTAAGCAGTTACTTGGAATTTAAATTGGACTACAACCATGTAATATAAAGAGAAGAAAACAAACCAGCCTTAATAAATTGGGGGTGCTGGTGGTGTTTCGAGAATTTTGTGGGGGAAAAGATGGAGTGGGAACATGCCTCAGATCTACATTCAATATTACAAGGATGAAAACAGGACTACTGCCATACAAACAAACAAACAAACAAACAAATGAACCCCAAACAGGATAATTGTTCCAATTTACACTTAGTTGGGGTAAGAATTTTGGTGTAGATTTAGTCAAGATTCTACTGTATTATAGTAGTTTAATTTTGTTGTTGTGTAATAACAATGGAGTCATGAAATATGACTCTTTCAACAAATGTAGCAACAACGTGAAAAAAACGTAATTTAGTTAATTTATATTATATACAATTTCTATTATAATTATTTCACAAATGATTTTATTAGATGATGCACTTCAGGTTTGTCTAAGTTGAATTTAGAATTAAGAGCAGTTCAAGTCATCTGACTTCACAGACGTTATTAATAGATTCAAAATTTATTATTAATCTGGAGGGGTTCTTTTGCAAACAGTGAATGCTTCTAAATGGTCTAGAAACCATTAATTTTAAATTACTCAACTTAAATCTGTTTAAATTTAATAATTTAATAAAAAATATTGCAGTAGTTTGTGCCAGAAAATGCTTTTTATATGTTCCCACCAACTGTTTTCCTTTTTGAAATCAGAAGCCAGTGGTGGTGTTTTGAGAACAGTACCGAAGCCAGCAGACAGGTCCCCTGTGATGGGGAGTTTTCACATGGGAAGTGATAAGGTTTATTAATTATTGTTGCTTTCAAGAAGGCAGGGATTAAGTAAAAGAGAAAATTTACTCAGCAATAAAGCCAAGACAAAACTAACATAAGTACTGAAGACCATTTCAGGGATTAAGACAGAGATGCCAATAAAGATGCCACAGGTCCCTCCCTGCAAGAAACTCCAAACGAATACCTAAAGAGTACCCAGTCAGCATCCAATGTCCAAGTTAATTTAATTTAATCTGATTAGGGGTTCAAACTGTTCCCAGCTTCAGACATGCAGTCCTCATGTCATTGCTACATAAGGCCGTTAACTGATATCCAATTTTCCAATAAATTGCTTAAGAGAATGATAATCAGTTAAAACACACCTGTACAGCATATGGCTTACCAAGCAAATGCCTTGGCTTACTGCATTATTTTAATTAGTCTTTTTTCCTACTTGATTATCAGTTCCAGTTATAAAACAAGATTGATAGACTTGCTTCTGTACTCCCTTCCACAGTACAGACACAGGTGCCACACTCCGCTGTGTTCCCTGGCATCTCTCTCCTTTTACTTTACTGGGTAAAACTCCTTTCATCTGAATTGCTCCTGTAATCTACCTGGGGTTTTTTTGGCTCCTTGCTCCATTCCCATTGCTTCAGGCTGCAGCTGAATATCCTGCCTCTAGCAGTGACAGCAAAAATTATCATGTTCAGACCTGAGAGACAGATATGCACTATGTAGCCCCCTCCTGGTACCTCATAATTGGCCCCAGTAGCATCAGGTTATTTGCAGTCAGCTCTTTGACCTCTTGGTGAGGAATTTATGGCAGTGAGACTTCGCTTTTCCAGAGAGGCCAGCTGGCAGCCAGGAGTTGAAACTAGTTTTTGTTCCAACCATGTACTCAGAGGGTTCTGGGGAATGATGACTCAAGATCTTCTCTTAATTAGAAAGCAATCAGGAAGGGCTACAAATCTGACAGCAACTGTTTGCCAACTAAGAGGTAGCATGCATAGTGATAAACCCCCAGAGAGTAACTAGAGTAACCCAGAGAATAACACATTCCCAAGAAGCATGAGAAGAAACTCAGTATTAGGCTGCCTCCTTGCCCACGTTTTCTTAAGCACAAGGAGTACCAGCCACACATTTCATCACACATTTGGATAGCATGGATCCTTGCGAAGTGAAAGGGGGAAATTATAAGAGATATACTTGTCATCCTGATGTGTCCAGGAAACTGGAACAAGGAAATGGAATGTCTAAGGAAAATCCCCTTCTTTTGTTCACAAGAGTATTCACTTGGTTTTACACAATGTCACTAAAAGCCCCTGAAACTTAACTGCCTCTCTTCACCTCAGATTCCTATACCCCTTCTGACTTCACAATGGGTAATAGAGAGGCTCTTACAGCAGCAGTTCTGTGCTCTCTTATCCATCAGTTACCAGTCATGTAATACACTGACCAAGCCAGATGAGAAACACAGAGATGGCCATGCCACAGAGAAGATTACAGACTGCCAAAAGTGTAGTGACTTTGTCCTTGACCTCAGCCAAAAGCATGCTGACTGTGGAGCTGGCCCTGCTGCGACTACAGCAAGCAAACAGGCGACTGTCTTCAGGTTTGGTGTCAAGTTTAGGATTGACAGTACTCTCAAAATGCAATGTACCAGCAAGCTCTTTGTGCACGTGAGTACCCTGGGCCATTTAGGACACCTATTCTGTTTGGTTGGAGCAACTTCCTTTTCTGAGTTAAAATGAGGTGTCTGGGACAGCCAAGTATGACTAGTGAGACTTCATGACAGCCAAAACGAAGAGACTTGCCCTCTCCAAGTTGTAGAGAGCTGTCACATTATTGTAACTTGATAGCATCTCTAAATTTTGATTAGATAAGTTCATTGCATTTCGGTATGACAGCTGAGAAACACATGGTACACCATCAGGCACAAGTAACTTCCCATTAATTTGCACAATTAATGACATTCTTTTCCTCTGAGCTCTCACAACAACCAGCCACCAGAACAAAATGGAGACACATATTAATTCAATCACTTGTACTTACTGTTACTGCTAGTGTTACTGCCAATGCTGTCATTCCTAAGGGAGCTGGCAGCAACAGGAGGAAACAAAAATGTTTTTGTGACAGCGACTCTGGAATCTAAATAGAAAATGAGTGTGTCAGCATTGCGTAACGTAATATACAGTTCCCTCTATATAAGATGATGGGCTGTAGGGCTACTCTGATGTGTCTGGGGCTGTTTTAAAAATTTGGGTACAGGGCTGTTTACAAAGTGGATTAAGCCAAAAAAAGGCAGTCTCAGTAAGAGGCAGATGTGTCTGCTGAATAGGTATTCCAGAAAAGCAATTGCTTGGAACAAGTTCTTAAGTTATGGCAGTACTCTACTCTAGTTACTACAGGTATAACTGTGCAACTGGACATGTTGCACTAATTAAAAAGCCAGTAGCTGTCACTAGAGAAAGTAAAAGAAAATACCTCCATTTACTGGAAGGGTAAGAATGAACTGCAGGAGCTTGACTTGAGCTTGTTAAAATTTTTAAATGAAGTAAACATGGGCCTTTTCAGGAGGGGTGGGATGAATATGGAGGTGACTTGAGGCTGCTGTAATTTACAACTTGTCTTAGCTTCCTATTCTTTCAGCAGTGCAATCTTAGGCTCAGCTACTGCCTTACAAAAATTAAAGCATTAATAGAAGGTAAGAAGAACAATGTAAAAAGGTGATCCAGGATATATCTGGGATGAAAAGAAACAGAGCAGATTATTGTGAGGTTATTTGAATTTTATTAAGGAATGATGTTAACAGGTATGATGGCACTAGTTTTACTGCCAGATAGAGCTCAACTTGGAAATTAAATACAATCTTTGGTGTTCTTAGTAATTTTAACTGGCAGTAAAAAGGAGACATGGAGGGACTGCATCAAATCATTAGCATCTCTGAAATCAAAGGAAAATCACCTATTTATATCAACTTAGATTTTGTTCCCCAAAATAAGGGCCATCTTACCATTCTCTGGTGTTTCTACTGTTGAAGGTAGAATGCAGTCATTCTTATCCAATATATCTGCAAACTCCTTGTAGACCTCAATGGTATTATTAAAGTGCCTAAAAAAATCCTCAGGAATGAAGCGACCTTCTTCATAAAGGTGACCATTTTCTTTTACAAAATCCTAGGGTAAAATACAGAATTCAGCTTGAAAGAAGGTCAAGATAGACACTCATTTCAAAACTTCAACAGATGATAAAAATACCCAAACACCAGATAGTTTAAATTTTTAACCTGCAGAAGACCAAATTTGGTGCCTACAATCTTCATAAATCATACAAGCCCTCTGATCTGAGGGTTTCAAATTAGCTTTGCAAATAGAAATAAATTATTAATATAGTGTTGGAAAATTGCCAAGGAATGAAAGGCAGTCTCCCATCCTACACTAAAAATGAAGAGACTTTTTTTTCCCTCATTAAAAAAATTACCTTCATTTCACGTTACTTTGCAATGTTCCCCAAGATCCTTTAAATTTGAACACAGGAACGCAACACAATCAGAGCTATTATCATAAGAGTACAAGGAACAGAATACAATAGCTGGGACATACTACTGCACAGAAGCAGTTTGAGATTCTTGATAAAGTACCTAAAAATAAGAGCAGGACTATAAACAAGGAAGCCCACTTACTCTCTGAGGTCTAACAGAGAAGTGCATTATGCGAGACTAAACAAGATTGAGGTCCATGTTAGGATCACTGATGGTTATCTTTTTTTTTCTTTTTACCTGATTCTGGCTTTCATAACCACTATGCCAGCAAGTCAAATTTGGCCTTGGGTTACTCTGTACTCCCAAGAAGGAGGACAGTGGTAAGAACACGGTTTAAATATGAACTAAGGAAAACTTCCTACTTCTGGCTCCAAAATTATTTTATGTTTAATGCTGAAAGTACTACACCTAAGATCATTCTTCTCTGAGGAAATCAATAGCTGATTGTTTCTCTGAATTACAGGATATTTAATTCTTCATTCTACAAAATGCCTCTTCCCCAATCACATCCCAGCTGAGTGCTTTGAGTCATCAGGACAAGAATAGAAAAGAAAAAGAAAAGATATACATTGAAGATTGGACAGAACTCAGTTTGAAATGAAAAGGTAGGGAATGTCTAAATACCCTCAGCAATATAATACCAATATGACAAGGTTACAAGGTTATGCTACTCTAAATGAGATTGAGTGGTTTGGTCCATTTGATTCATTCTGGATGTTAAAAAGGTTCAATTACAACAGCTAACGACTTACTTAAGAGAAGTCAATGTATATGGAAGATGAAATCCTTGCCCTAAAGAACATGGTGGATTTTGACTATTTTATTCAGTGGGACACCACCTTTGACAACAGAACTGGTTAGACCTGGATAAGGGATTAGCAAATTAATTTTTTGACCCCATAATTTTCACACAAGAAAATCATACATCTCTTGAGTGAGAAGTGAGACTCCTGGAATCCTTCCAGCCACTGCTGGACTCCAGAAACACATGGAAATGGGCTGATATCCCCTAGTCTTTGCTGTGCATTTGCAGAAAAAAGTTCATTAAACAATGATGAAGCTTTTGGAGCTTCACACATTCTGATACATACCAAAAGTATATTAATAGTTTTGACCACATCATCTTTAAATTTACATTAGGAACACTAGCAAAATGAATAATTTAAGCTTCGTGTACAAGGAATATTTCTGCCAGTTTCAAACAGAGCAGAATGAATTATCTTAAAGATGAAGGTTACATTTTTGACTGACTGTATACAAGTCATTGTATATACTGTAATTCCTTGTAAGCCATTTTCCTTTGACACAGGAGATAACGACTAGCCAACTCTAAGCCCAGTGTACTCAATGCATTTATAAACAAAGTAGGATTTCAGATGTACAGGAACATAAGTTAGAGCAAATCTTATGAAACTTTGGACGTTTTTAAGCTATTACTGAGTACTGTGCAACAGAATGTTCACATAAAAAAATCCAGCAAAAAAGCAGAAACTCTGTATAAGATTACCTTATTTTTATCAAAAGCTAGGCATGCCATAAGATCATTAATTATCCTTGTGAGATTATTGATGATTGAATAGTTGCTTAAAACATCAGACATATCTGAAATATCTGAAAATTTCTGGAGAAGATTATGTAGACTCCTTGAAAACTCAGGCACCATCAAATGCAACCAACAGTGATTAGGCTGTCAGGGGATAAAAGGAGAAACAAAGAGGTAGATTAAATATCAGACTTTTGCAAAAACTGGTTAAGCAGCTCAGTGTGTATAAGTAGATTAGAATGTTCTTTCTAATTTAAATTATCTTGAAGGTCTAAATTAAAATTTGTCTTCTCTAGTGTGGCCAACTTTCTTTTCAGTTCTTTTGATAAAATTTTTATTCTCACTGACACTGACATATTTATGGTTGTCTGTTAAATGCCATCCCTTCATTAAATTCTTAATGAATCAGTCTGTTGAGAATTTGAGCCTTGGGGCATACTACTACTAACTCTAGTCCATATCTTCATTAACCTATTTATTTTTTAAAAATAACTACTGCTTTAACTATTTTCTCCAGACTTTCTTTAAACCATTCTCAGTGTTCATTTTATTATTGTTACCCTACATGACTGTTAACCTCAAAGATCCTTGATTTAAATCTCTTCTGAGAAAGGGTTCTGTAAATGTTTTGCATGAAATCCATGTGTGCTGTTATCCACCTTTAAAAGAGTTAGCTTAGTTAACTTCTTCTCTTCATCTTTTTCACCTAATGCCATTCCTGAGAACAGATTCCAGATCTCAAAGTCTTTCTTTTCCTGAATTTTTGCCAACAAAAGGGTTCTTCACAGCCCGTGGTGGTATCTGCCACGTCTGTGCCCCTGGAAGAGAGTTCAAATCTGCTCACTGACACCTATGCAATTAGTTTGCAGACAAAGTTTGTACAGCTGTTCATGTAACTGAAACCTGTTCATTCATCTTGCTTCCTTAAAGGCAGTCATTAACTTCTTTTATTTAGATTTACACACAGTAGTCACATAAACAAAAAAGCCACCCAGCCCAGAAAACCCCCTAACTTAATATGGTCAGCAAAAGTACAGGTAATGTATTAGTCACACTGCAACATGTACCTGGAAGTCTCTCCCTAATAAAAGCTGAATTTTTAATGGTAAATGTTATGGGAACTTATTCCACATGTGAAGCTATTTTTCCAATGGTTTAAACAGTCTCAGGATCACTAAAGCCTGACAGATATAAAGATCTTCGCCCAGCAACTCCTAAGTACTCTCAGTATCACTAAACTAGTTTCTAGTTGCCGCCCAGCGGATGGGCAGCATCCACTGAATCCATCCACTCCACCTTCTGCAAACACGCAGTAAATGTTTGGCCGATCTACCCACTTCTAGACTTAATGTCATTTTACTCATTTTCTGCAGTACACCTTCATACAGATCCTTTATTAATTTTTTTCCCCCTACACTATCAATATCACCGCTTGGCAACAAATTACTTTCTTGGTGACACAGGTGGTGTTCTGCCTGGCTGTGTAAATGTTTTTGATGAGGAGAAACACACTTCACACTTTCGAAGACTAACCAGACGATTAGGCTCCCAGGCCTAGAGAATCAAATGTAAATACATTGTTCAGCTTCACCTGACATTTCACTTTTGTGTAGAGCTCTCTCACACACAGATAACAAGTTGCAAGTCAGTTATTATCACCTTCTGTAATTGTCTCAATAGCGACTTAAGCAAGAATGAAATAAAATGTGAAATGGATGGTGTTTGGCTTGATCCTGTCTCCCTTTTCCCTTCAAGCACAACAACCAGAGGGGAGAGGCAGAAGCAAACAAATCAGAGAAAGATTCTTGAAACACACTCCATTCCGGCAGCACACATTGTGCCATGTCTCACTGCCCTCACGAGATAGACAATGCATTTTCCTCTGCTTTGGTGTAGGAACACAGACACAGAACTCCTGTGCTTCACTGAGCTGCAAAATAGGAAACCCTTTTCCTCTGAGGTTTGTGGGTGTGCATTCTCCTCTGGCAGGGACTAGCAAAAGCTTGCTGCTGCTTTAGTGAGCATTTGGTGATTTCAGCAGGGAGTCTATTTTGTTACTCCCATGGTTTAGCATGTGTGTAGGAGTCTCCTCTGACTGAACCATTCTGACCTACAAAGCTGCATTTCAAGAGAGCTTGAAGTTTTCTTTTCAGTAATATCAAGCTGTGCAATCACTTGCTAGCTCAATACATACGAAACACAAGGATAAAACTGCTGAAATTGAGAAATGTGATGTTAGCAAGGAGAAATGGAGGTTTAACTCTGCTTTTTTGTGTAAACTTTGACCAAGATTCACATTATAGGGCGATTGCAAACCTGAGTTCCCTTGTGCTTGCAGGTAGTCCTTGTTTAGCTCCTATCTAAAAGTTTAAAGTTTATCTCGTCTTCTGCATTCAGCCCCTGCTGCTGTCATCTTTTCCTTTTTAACCTCCAGGTGAGACTATACAGTTCACTCTATGCTAAAATACTTTTAAAGCCACTCAGATGCCTTGAGCTAGTGCATAATGCAACAACCCTTCTGTTTAATGGATGGGGTCAGTCTGTTCCTGTTACATGCACTACACTGGGTTCCCATCTGCTTTGCATTCACCCTGCCTTCCTACCTTTACTCATCTACATTTGAGACTTGCTACCTTGGGTACACTTCCCACTTTATGCATGCACTGAAGATCTACTGAAAAAAACTGCAGACCGTTGTTTCAATCCTTGCAGAGCTGAACAGAGGGCATTCACCTCATGCAAAGCCGTGTGTTTTCCAGCTTGTAGGGACCTTGCAGAACCCAGAGCCAGCCTTTGCTGTGGTATGTGTAAAACAACCTGAAATCCCCAGAGAGGAATTTGGCAAAGTGGGATGTGAATACCCCTGAATGCTTCCTCATGTGAAGGCATGTGGCCAAGAGCTGCACCTTCCATCACCATGACTGAAAGTGGCATTTGAACAAAGGGAATATGGAAATCCCAGCTCTGAACTTCTTCCTATTTATTTCTTGGCTGCTCATTGTAAATGTAAACTGGATCTAAGTTCCTAGATATGATGCAGCAAGATGACATGGCATTTAACCTGTAGAAGAGAAACGGTGTGCTGGTAGCCAAAACTGAACCATGGAGCAAGGTAAGAGTTAAGCAGTGAGAATGACCAGGACTCATTGCTGAAGCAGGCTCTCTGGCATTATTCAGCTGCAGTGCCAACCTCCTCAGGAGCGCACCAGAGGGAACAGCCCCAATCCAGCCCAGCTCTCACCCATCAGCTGACATCCTCATCCCGGAGGATAGGAACCAGCACTCAGGCTACAGTCATCCTCCACAGACATAAATCTCATCACATCAGGCAAGAAAACCATCGAATTTCAAAAAGCACCACGGCCAGGGGATGGTGGCAGCCAGTCTTACTTCCTTTACTCTGCATATTGGCTATTTTCAGGAATCAAATTTTTTTCCATTAGCTTTGATTATATTATATAGGCTCTTGTATCTGACTTCCATGGCATTTGTTCTGCAGTTTTTATGTCTAATTAATCAAGTTTAAGCTAGGTTTTCTAAAGTACTCTAAGTTTTAGTAAAAGCATCAAGCTTCCAATAAAACTCAAGAACACTGCCAGATCTGCAATAATACCTTGTAACTTCATAGCTTAGTGCCCTTCACTATCTCATAGCCTTCTTTTCCTCCAGTCATCTTATTATTCAGGACTGAATGTTTCTTCTAGCACTGTTCTCCAATACCACTAGGGAATATTGCTAGATTTGCTACAGTGTTGTAGGATAGAATGCATTTTTATGTGTGTCACACACAAATTGGATTTTCATAATGAAAACTTTGTGCAGACACAAACCCAACTTCTTACATCTACCAGATGATTTCCAACCACTGATGCATGGGTACAATGATTCATTCTTAAAACATTCAGGATATTGTTCAGTTTAACTGACAAACTAGTCCTTTTCTTACTTTTTTCCTTAAAACAACATAGTACAGTATAGCATTCAGCACAATTTCTACTTTCACCTTGTTTCCTTCTCTCCTTTTCTTGCAGTGTACGCAACAATCAAGAGAGCATTTTCAATGCATCATTTTAAAATTATTCTTTTAAAATTAAGGAAAAACATAAAAAATTGTAGTAGAATATACAATAGATGATATGAAAATGTTTATAATACAAAATATTATAAATTTTTAGAGAGTATATAATGCTTATTTGAAAGTATCACTACGTATTAACTATGGGATTATATAGAAAGAACAACACAAAGCATGTTTGAATGCAATAATGTCCTTAGTTTCTACCAGTCTCTTTAGTTACTGACACTACCATTTTCTGAATTTAGGATTCTTTTTATTGGCTACTCAGTATTTGTCATGCTTTAATGGCATTTCCACTGGCTGAAATTAGGACATTCTGCAGTATGTTCAAAAGCACAATTAGAAAGAAACTACTTCTTTAAGAAAACAACAATTTTCAGTTGACATGATGAAACGACACCATAGCTTGAAATTTTTCAGAAAAAAAGGTGTTAAAAAATATAGTATGAAGAATCATTTTTCTAAGATACCTGTAATTAAAAAGGTTTTAAGTGACTGCAGGAATGTCTCTACATTTCTTTCAAATGAGTATTCACAAAGTGTATGAGAAGTGAAATAACTGTTATTTAACTGTAACTTGCTACACAGGACTAGGTACAAAATGCTATGGCCATCAGTGGGCTATTTTATTGGCATTAACTTGAAGTGGTTGTACATACCAGACTATCCATCTTCGGGACATATTTAAGGGTTATCATATAATCATTTGGGAGATTTCCAACCTACAATAAACAGATAATAAAAAAGTTATTACTCACTACACGAAGTAAGACTTAATTTCCGTCACAGTATTCAACGAAGTCTATCAAATGTGCAACACACGTTTTCAGTAATCTCCTAGGTGCAAAAGCTTACATACTCGATTTCCTGTGGAAATGCTACTGACTTACTTGCTCACAAGTGAAGCATCGTTCCACACCTCTGTAACATTCCCAGATCCTATCTGATCATGTTTAATGCTATGACTTCCCAGCAGAATAAAAGTCAGTAATATGGTGAGGAAAAGTGATCTGAGGTTATTCACTAATGCAGAAACTCCACTGCATTTTCATCTTTTAATGGCATGTCTTGAAGTGTTTTCGTGACAATTTCTATCTAACCCCAACCAGTCCAAACAGTAAAGGACCTGGTAGTCTCTAAGCCTTTTTCCTTCAAATAATTTCCAACTTCAGCAAGCACTTGAGCCTAAAGAAATACTTACCTGCTTTGTGCTCAGTTAAGTACCAGGTCAGAAAAACACTTGAGCACAACTTTAACTTTGAAGCTGTGCCTCTTACTAATGATTAGAGATACAATTGTATCATAGCAATGTGCTGGGAAAAAGGAGAGCTTCTACACACCTAAGCTGAGTGCAGCTTTGCAGATGTGAGTATGGGGTGTGCTGAAGCAAGGATAAGGAGTGAAAGAAGGGTTCTTGCTGAATTATACAATGCAATATGCTACAGATGGAATCCAACACTACCATGAGATGTGGTTATTCATCTGGTGAATGTGCTGAGAGGGAAGATGAAGAGGGAGACGCTGCCATGATCTGCAATCTCTTGAAGTAATTTTTTCAAAAGGTTTACCAATACCATGATTCCTAGTGATACAGCAAATATATTTTCTTTCGTATCACTGAAAAATTCAATAGATATTTTCATCCTGGTTTGAAATCCATTTAGTTAAAAGACAATAAGCACATAAATAACTCCTTTGGTGAACCAGAATCTATACTTCAGCAAAGCATTTCTACTTCTTTGGGTTAAAGATCATTCCGTTATGGCTGCTTTCAATTCTGCTGCTATAGCAACCAGCACAGGGATTTATTTTTTTTTCCCCGTGCATTTTTTAGGTAGTATGTTGTTTGTCACAACAGAATGTTTTATTTGTTAATTAAAAATTAGTTTCAATTAAAAATTAATACAGCAATTTCAAAATGTTAGAGTTCTGGAAATGATCTAAGACAATACTTATGTACAGTCAGTCACTAGTGAATTCCAAACATTTTTAAATTTACAAAATGGGCTGAGATCCAATCTTTCAGTTCAATGACATCTAGCTTTCCCCTACAGCTTTAAAAAGCAAGTTTTATACAAGCAATCTGGGTAAATTCATTTTCATAGATAAAATTTCTTTTTTATTTTTTATTTTTAGATCTACACATTCCCTAAGCAGCAGTAGCACAGGTGCTATTAAAATTCTCTGTATCAATTTCCATTTACCTGGAATCTGGGGGAGTGATTCAAGACACTATAAATACTGGAAAATGTTGCAATATTACATTTGTTCTTTCTTTAGAGTATCTGATCTATTCTAAATCCTCATCCACAATTTTTAATATATTTTACCTTACTTTAAAGAACATCCTGACATCATGACACATTAATAGGTAATCCACTTTCTTTTCCAGCTTCATTTGCATGCCTGGAGAGTTAGGATTAGCAGCACTTCCAGCAGCAAAGATAGTGAAGATGCTACTGTATGTGCAAAGTTTCCCACTCTACAGGAATTCAATATTTAGCAATGTCAGCAAAAGTATTGTTCTTTAAGAAAGGTCACTGGAAGATTAAATTTGTTCCAAATCAATGAACACTACAAGAACTGATATGCATTATGTATACAATCTACTTTACCAGCATCAGAGCCTGTCAAGCACTTTTCATGCACAGTTAAAAAAACGTAATTGTCCAAGAGCTCTTACAGCTTCTCAGACAAAGCTAGAGAATACATCTCAGCCTCAGTCATTTTTCTCCTTCACAGACTGTGGATCAGAAAAGATATTTTTGAATTTACTACTAAAAATGAAGACCACTTGGAGGGGAGGGTGTCAAACACAAAATATATGCCCTGCCTCAAGACGAAACAACTTGTTAAAGTTTTATTGATTGAGCTCCACATGCCAGATGCTCTGCTCATGGTAAACAATGGAGCTCAGTCAAAGAGAAGGAGTTATATTTGTGTCCCAGTTGGACTTCCCAACTCACACACATAGTAAATGATGGAGCTCAGTCAAAGTGACGGAGTTATATTTGTGTCTGAGTCGGACTTCCCAACTCACACACAGAAAAGAGGGTAGAGTAAGGCTGAAGCATATGTTTGTCCTAAATCTGTGCATTTTGTAGTCTCTTGCTTTCCTGAAATGAATCTTGAAATTTTGTTGAACACTAACCACCAAGAGTATGATCTCAAACTAACCGCTTGATTTTCAACTGCTGAAATGATCCTGAAAGGAATGAAAGGACTTTGCATTCTCACTCTAAGTGTGGAGTGCCTGAGTGCTGCAGCTCTCAACAGGAAGCAGAAGATGACAAGAGGGCTCTGAGTTGCCCGACCAAAGTGGAATGGAAAGGGACTGTCCCTTGAAACTCCCTGAGTCTTGGAATGGCCTTTATGATTCCCATACTAAACTTCTTAAGTACAGCAACAAATCTGGGGGGCAACAAAACACCTACCTGCAGGTCTTGCCTTGGTTTAGACAAAAGTAACAGTTTTGATGATTATACAGAATGTCTACTGATAATCTTGGAAAGTAATGTATGGAGCTAAAAGAACCCTGCATTGCAATTAAAATGCCACAAAAAGTTTCTCTGATTTAATGGAGGGGAAGGTGTGGTCGTAGAAAGCCTATCAGGCTCTGAAAAGAGGTGAACAACAGGGAATACAGACTTATGTTTTTAAATCTATATAAAATTAACATTAAGTGCTGTATTCCCAGTTTTAACAAAATCTCAAACTGGGAAATGTAACATACGTACAGAGGTCTGAATATTTAATACAGCATTGTTAACACTGCATAACCCAAATGTACTTTTAAAATACATTCATGGTCATATAGGGAGAGACAAGAGGGACATTGTAAAAGCAATTTGGGTTCTGTAGACTACTCTTTCATTGGAACAGCAGAACATAAAAGAGATGACCTATCTCTGCAGACAAGTACTTT